CTGACGGCAAGAGGCAGCCTGTTCTCTAAGCGCGGCTATGGTACTTGCAAATGCCTCCAAATCACTGACTAAGGCCTCGTGTTTTTTCAAGAGAGCCTCAGAACTGTCTTCGTCCTTTCCGTAGTCAGCATTCATGACTATGGGTCGCTTCTCCTTCATCCAGGATTCAGCTTCGTTGGCGTCAGCAAAATACTGATGAGCCTGGAGGGAGTCATCTAGGTCATTTTTGCGCTGTCTGGCTTTCTCTTTTAGCTGCCCCCAATGTTCATCCAATGCAGCCAATCGTTGGCTAATTTCCTCTGCGGCGAAATGACTTTCTTGCAACATTGATGCACCTGTCTGACAGACAGCAGCTACGCGTGGTTCATGGTTATTTATCTCTGCCAAAACAGCCTGATGCTTTTTCTGTAAATTCTGTACACCAATGAGATCACGGCCACGGTTGGTGGACGCTGCAACTGGTTCCTTCTCACGAATCCAGGCTTCCTCGTCTTCTATATCTCTAAATAGTTGCTGTACTTGTAGAGAATCGAGAAGTCGTTGCTTGCGAATGCTCATAGGTTGCTGAAGAGCAGCATATCGGCCTTGTAATTGTTCTTGCTTAGCCTTGATGTTATCGGCATCGAAATGACCCGATTTTACGAACTGATCAGCAGCTTGAGCAATGTTATCGATTCTATCAGAATGGGACGCGACGTCGGCTTCCAAAAGAGCATGCTTTTTCTGAAGATTTTGCACACTAGTTAAATCTTTACCATAATCTTCAGACATCAATTGTCCTTCTACTTCTGACAACCATAACTCGATATCCTCCACGGTACGGTTAAATTGTTGTTGCTGGGAGGCTTCTTGTAGTTTGGCTCCTTTCTTTTCTGTAGCGTGAGTAAGACTTTCCCACAAGCACATGATTTCATCGGTACGAGTACGAATTCTGTCGCTAGCATAGTGGCCACTTCCGATTAATTCTTGACCAGTGGCTACCATTTCTTCCATACGAGTCCTGTTAGCATTTAACTCTTGCTCGAAGTTTTGATGTTTCTGCACTTTTCCGTTTAAGTTAGTAGGATCCAAATAGCTGTCGTCGGTAGCGAATTTGAGTTTTTCATTTACCCAACCTTTTGTTTCATCGCAATCACGTTCAAATTGTTGTAGTTTGTATGCGTCCTCTAAACGGCGTCTTCTTTGAGCCGATTTCTCAAGAAGAAACGCACGTCTCTCTAATAAAAGCTGACGTCTTTGTGCCACGTCGTCTGCTGCATAATGCTCTCCTTCTATCAATTTACCCGCAAAGTCATCCAGTATCTTGATCTTTTCCTCCTGCGCAGCTAAAGATTTGTCGAAATCTTCGTGTTTTTTTATAAGAGCCTCCACGCTGTCGAGAGAATCTCCAAGGTCTTCATTTGCTAAGAATGCTTCCTGCTTAGCCATCCATGCATCCGCTTGTTCCGTATCTCGATAGAATAATTGCAAGTCCATGCATTGTTCATATAGGATTTTTCTCTTTTCCCAAAGGCTCAAAAGAGACTGTTTATCCTCGGCAAGAGAATCCAATTTTTTGGCTATTTCTTCTGAGGCTTCATGTTTCTTTTCTAGTAGTTTACGGCCAAGTGAGTTAAGAAAACCAAAACTGTCAGCTCTGGCATCAATTTCTCCTTTATGCTCCTGATGTCTCTCAACAAGAGCTTCAGCGCCAGCTACATCTTTAGCTAGTTCATCTGCCGATATAATTGCACGCATGTCGTTCATCCAAGAAACCAAGTCTCTGTAGTCAGCAAAGAATTTGTGTGTAGAGTAAGAGTTTTCGAGATTTATATGTCGCTCTATCACTTTTGCTTTTAAGCTTTCCCATGATTGCATGATCTCTTCATATTTAGCTTGAATTTGTTTACAGTGGTCTGCTTGATGAATGCCTGTAAGACGATTTGCTTCAGTGCCTAATGTAAAAACTTTATCATCTAAAGCTGCCAAATCTCGTTCTATGCATTCGTGTTTCCTTTGTAAAGTCTGTACACTTGCGAGATCACGCCCAAAATCGTCCGATGATAAAACAACATATTTTTCAGCGATCCAAGCCATTGTTTCGTCAGCATCTCGGTTATATCTTTGAATTTCGTGCGCGCCAAAGAGTTTTTCTTGTCTCAAAACGGCAAGCTGCTTTAATCTTTGCCATGATTCATTAAGTTCTTCTTTTTTACGTAGAATTGTATCGCGTTCAGGATGTCCATCTAGAAGAAGTTTATCTGCTAATTCGTTTACTTCTGTTACTCTATATTCCTGACTAGCCATATCCTTCTGAAATTCATCAAATTTTCTTTGGAGTACTTCAACATGTTCCAAATCATGACCAAATTCGTCAGTTGTCACAAATGCTTCTTTATCATGGATCCAGAACATTACTTCGTCACAGTGTCGAATAAACTGTACAAGCACCAAAGCTTGTTGTAATTTGAGACCTTTGTCTGCCAATCTAGAGAGTAACAACTCCCATAAATGGTGAAGATCCACTGTAAAATAAATCTAGTTGTTAATTAAAAGTTGTAAGTTAAGCAAATATAAATAATATCAATGAAAACTTACCTAATCTCTTACGAATGACGTCACTTGCAAAGTGATGTTGTGCTATCATCTCTGTCCCTGTATTATCTAATGATACTATGGCATTAGAATGAGCTGCAACTTCTGCTTCAAAGGCTTGATGTTTCTGTATCTTTGCTTGTAGGTTTGTAGGATCCTTATAGCTTTCATCTGAAGCAGCTTGCAGTTTTTCGAAAATCCATCCTTCGAGTTCGTCCGCATCTCGCTTAAAATACTACAAACACAAATATAAAAACAAGTTGATCAATAAAGATTTGACGAAAGTAAAAAAATAAATAATTAAAAAATATACTTGAAAGCGACGGGAGTCCTCAAGTTTATCCCTTTTATTCCTAGCTTCCGCTTTAAAATTTGCATATCGGCTGAGGACTTGGTCTCTTCTTTCTTGAATATCCTCGGGATTTTCCAAAATTTTCACTTCTTTTGGCGTGATTTGATCCATTTTGAACGAAATGCTTATTGTCCGACGTTTATAGACAACTCTCTAGTGTCCAAAATGGCCACAGGGGTGTGGTAAGGTTGACTCTGTAGTGAAATCAATAATTAAAGCTTTAATAATTCATTCGTTCTTCGATGTTTGTCCGTAATTACGAATTTTTACTATTATCTACGTAAGATACATTGCAAAAACAATGTAAAAACAATATATACTTTACACAATTCTCCTGTATCTGATATAACACTGACAACTGACGTTCTTCGAAGTTCGATACTAACTGTGGGATCGCCTACGTGTGTAACAAGTCAGTGAAATACTTTCCCCTAGATCTACGTCATTGATTGGCCAACCAATAATACATACGACCAATGAAACGTTCTTGTTAGCCGCATATCTTATCAATCACTTTTATATATAACTTGTTACGTCACTGCAGCGTAATCTGCTTAATAATCTGCAATTCCTAAAAGCTAACGAGGACTTATAATTTGACAGTTTGATTTTATCTGATTTCTTTTATAACTGTAAATACTAGTTGCTTTTAAGCAATCTACTTTTATTATTAATCTATCTATCTGCTGTCTATCTATTTATCTAGCTGTCGTTTATTATTAATTACGCTAGTTGTGTTGATTTTATGTGAAAACTAAAAATTGATTTCACTTTTGAATTTAGTAATACAGAATTAATATTATTTTTGAGATAACAAGGGATTAAAAGGACAATAGAATTATGATACAGTAATCTTTTATTAAATTTCACCTACAAACAACGAATCACAGAACGTTACATTAGAGTTCCTTACGTCAATCCATCGTGTCTTCGTATTATTTTACAGGTAAATAATTATAGATTTATCCCTATTACAGTAAAGTCTTATTTGATAAAATATCTTGTAGCGTAGTCAATCGTTATGTATATGTAAATTTAATTTACCTAAAAATAGGATTTTTTTTGTTGCAGTGTCCATTCATTGTTTATAAGTGGATGTTATGTATAGAAGTGGTACTATTTATAGGTACTTGCTTTTTTGTCCATTGTACTCTGATGTATTTCTTTTCTTTCTCTTTCTTTACTCATCTTTTTTTTTTTTTATTGTATTTTTTAAGCATATTTTCATCTGATACGTGTATGCAAAGAAAAATTACAAAATGCTATGCTGACAAAGGGGGGATGATATACAGGGTTAAAGGTTTTCTTTAAGTACCCGAACAAAGTCGATGGTATTACAAATACAAATTGCTAGAACATTTTTTTCTTTAATATGTTTTCTTTGTTAGAAGGCAACACGTCTTTGTTAATTACAAGAAGGCAATTCGCTTTGTATCATCTGGTATGTCTGGCGTCCCAAGACATTTTCTTCTTGATTCTAATTACCGCGCATATAATTCTTTATAATTATGTTCTTTGTTCCTTTTCTTCTTATCTTTTAAGTGGCAAAAAAAATGCAAGGGACCGTTTACAGGCATTATTGGCAGCACTTGATCGATTTCTTCTATTATTTACCGTATTTCCGTTTTCTTCTTCGAAATGTTTGGAGGTGATCGTCAAGAAGAACAACTTATGGAGAGGCTGATAGCGGGTAAACATCTCAAAGGTGTGTTCGCGCTCTTATCTCACTTGTTCTCCGTCTCTCCTGCTTCTCTTTTTCTCTCTTTCTCATTTTCATCTGTTCACAATTACGAAGATAACCAGCACTAATGTTCTTCCTAAGTATGCTCTCAACGAATCTTTATGTACAAAACTTATTTCTATAGGATACGCTTGCACTCGCACGTCACGTCCGTACTCAGGGGCGGGCTGCTGCTCAATAAATTAATTTTCTCTCTAACTTATCATGTTTCGATCGCCCCATGCATCAGGAAGGCTATTATACTCTAAACGTTTAGAAAAGTACGATGTCTCTGATTCTAGCTGAGCATGAGAAACACGGGGATGTGCGTTCTTCGCCGGTCACGAAATCTAAATCGTCGACCGTGCAAATCGATTCATTATCGTTTGATTCTAATGTCGATAGCTTATTAGAAAAAGAGAGGGAAAAAAAAAAGAGAAAGAAAATACAACGCAAAAGAAAAACGATAATGCTTCCACGGTGTTCACTTAGTATTATTATTATTATTATTATTAATATTATTATTATTATTATTATTATTATTACTAATATTATCATTAATATTTTTTTTTTTTTTTTAACAATAATATATACTAAAGGTGTATTTTTATATATACAGAGATATATAATGTCTGTTTCAATAATTTTTTTTTTTATGATTTAGTAACACTAGCTTGCTAAATAACATTCTTGGACCTCGTGTGTATAGCCAGCACCTTACATTGTTGAACCCTCAGCTCAAATAGAAGAGTCGCCCTTTTTTTCGCTTATATTTAAAAAAATATAGTGTGTGAATAGTGTGTCTGTGTAGACGTACGCACGCGCGCATCTGTACACGCGTGTCACGTGTAGTGTACAGGTGTGTGTTTTGTATATATGTGTACCTCTCCCTGAGCTCGCTCCGTAAAACTTTTTAAACATCTTTATCATTTCCGCACTATCATATTTTCCTCCTTTCTGAATCTTTTCACAGCCCTCATTTCGTTTCGTTTTTTTTTTCTTTTTTTTTTCTTCTCCTTCATCAAACTTTCCACGTTCGCGTGCGTGTACATTGTGTAAGTTTTACTTTCCCTTCGCTTTTCTATGGTTCCCTTCGTCGACACGTATATAACAATTTCTTCATCTTTTTCTTTTTTTCATTCTAGGTAACATATATAATCGTCTAATATACAATAAATAATTTATCGCGCTCTTGAATGTACAATTGTTCGCCTATATTCCGGCTATACGTTAAGTAATAGATTCATCTTATTTTTTCTTTCTTCATTTACTCTTGATTAAAATACATTTAATAACACTTGTGCCGTAGCATCTTTATTTTTAAGAACTAAATTTTGTACAAATTTGAACGAGCTCAACGTATACATATATTTGTATATGTATATATGTATTTTATATATATATATATATATATATAATAAACGTTGTAAAACTTAGTACGATTACTATCGACGTACACCGTCAAAGAGTAACAAAAAAAAGAAAGACCAAAGGAGGACGAAATTACGGTATACGATAATTGCATACGTATATGTATCGTGGCAGCTGTCGCGTCGACAAAAACAAAACATTCATCCTCTCGCGGGAGCGTCCGTGCGCATGCGCACGCGCTCCTCACGTTTTAATATACATATCTCTATAAGTATATATTTATAATACAAGGAACAAACGAAGTCAGAGAGAGGGCATGCTTTAAATCGTCTGAGGGGTGTGCCAAGTGGGCACATTGTGGCAGGAAGAGCTGCTCGACAAGAACGATGATGACGACAACGATGTGTTCCCGCGAAAGATCGCGGCACGAATACACGAATCACTAGTTTCCCGTACAGCTCGCCTCTCGTGCTGCTGTTCCCTCGAAGGTCGAACCCTGTCTCACGCGCCGGTACAGTCAATTTCTATAATATCTTTCGGCACGTCCACAAACTGATAGACCAGCCTCTGTCCGTCGACTTTTGCCAGGATACCGCGCTGGTAATAATAACGCAGGGCTCGGCCCATCGTTTCATAGTTCATATCCGGTTTATTCTTGTGCAAACCCCATAGACGAGATACCGCCTTGCTGTCCACCAGTTTGAAGACACCTCGTTCGCGATTCGTCCATTTTATGTATCGGGGGCAGTACTCTCGATCCTGTAGCAATTTCAACAGAAACTCCCACAGATACGTCGTCGAGCCCTCCCGAGATTTCCTCTTCACTGCGGCGCCATCCCCTTGACGCGGTTTTTTCAGTTTGTTCTTTTTCGATCTCGGGGGGAAACCTAATTCCAGCAGGTACAGGTCGTCGGAAACCGAGCTGGTTGCAGCTTGAATCACGCTTGTCGGAACACCACCGGGCCCCCGTGGTGGACTAGGGGTGCAGGGGGTAGCGAATTGGGCCCCGCTAGCGTACATCGAATTCACGTAACTACTGTAGCTCTCGGACACTGTAAGCAGAAGAAAAGAATCATAAAGTATCGAGGTACAATTTGTTTCAATGCCGATCGTAACGATTCGAGTCGAAGTATTTATAACTACAAACGGTATATCGTCATTTGGGTTCAGATAATATCCGTCAGATGGCACTAGCGGAATTGTTACCATTAGAAGGTAATGTAGATCGTTATCAAATCAATTACGAAGCAAATCCGATTATCGTACATTTTTCCTGTGTGATAAAAAAAGAATAGACTCGCTTATTCATGGAAAAGCGAAATTTAACGCGATAGCTGCCACTTTTTCGACGCACTTGTCAAACAAATCTAATTCATCGCACGGATATCATTTATTAATCGAATTCGGATCACGTTTGATTCATTTTTTTCAATTCAATTAACTACTTATTTTAACATTTCATATGCAAAGATACAAAAGAATTCGCGAATCATTACTATTTCTTTTCTTGTGAAACACGAATTTTATTACACGTTCGATACGGTTTGACAGGTCGGACCAACGACGATCCCGTTCCATTCGTTGGAATTCCACGAATTCGGGACAATCCGATTCGCAACGCTATACTTTATAACCTAGTCGACCAAAATATATTTCCTAATTAACATTGACCAGTAGTTAATTCGTCGCGTGACATGGAGATCTTCGCAATGCGTCTCCTGAAGTATACATCGTACTTAACCGTGCAATGAACTATTAATAGCTGTCCACGGAGCATCGTTGCCGGTGCTTTGCCGTTTCTGTCACCGGATGATTGATGCTTCGGGACGAGCTCTCGCGGTTTCGTCTCGATAACCTTTTTTCTCTTAGGCGGTCACGATCGATCTCGATTCCGTGACTCGCAGCGCAGGAAACGTGTACCGAGTATACGCGCGACCCGTCGAATCGGATACGCGATCTACGGACGCTGGAAACATCGTTTACGCGCTGTTGTGGGGAGGTTAGTTGCAACGCTCAGTTGTACGTAGTCATGGGCGTAACGGGGCCTAATGCGATTTACTTTTTCAAATTAACTACCGCGCGAACAGTAACTTGAAATTTATTCAATTAACAAATAAATCGACGATGTCGGTATACAGGAAAACTACGATACCGATAATAGTCGTAATACGGATACGTTATACAATCTGTCCGATTATATGATCGATGAATTTAGATTCGATAAATGATTTTCCTAAAATTTATTTCTATTTTTCCTTCTTCGACCCATCTCAGTATGCCGAAACGTGGTATTCGATCAAACGGGTAGTAAATATTTATACGGTTATTAGAATTATTTTTCAATTGCCACGATGCCATTGTGGTTTTCACGAAAACGAAGAGAACACGTTAACGTCGATAAAAATTTCGCTGCGGAATGATTCCGCGGGTTCTGCGAAAACGAGGAACTCCCGGGATGCCTCGAAATAGAAAGTATTCTTACGCCACTGGTCGTGTGGCCAGTGCCGTGTGAGCGCGAAGAGGAAGGAGAAGTGGTGGTCGGGTAAAGAGAGGGTTAAGCGGAGCCAAATGAAGAGCGAGAAGGAGGGTGAAAGGGAGCGCGCGAGAGCGGGACGCGAGCAGAGAAGAAGAGAGAGAGAAAGGGAGCGAAGACTGAAAGGGTAGGGGAACTCTGGCTGCAGTATGATAGAGGACTGACCCGAGCCAAGGTTGCACGGGTGACGCCATCAAGCTACTAGTGCATAATAGCGCCGCTCGTTCTGAGGCCGCCGCGACTGCGCTAAAATCGGAACTCGTTCTCTGCATACCCTCCATCACCGCTCTCTGTGCCTGCCTCCTTCTCGCGTTCTATACGTCGTTCCTCGTAGTTCCGCGGAGGCGCGCCACGCGGTTGAACGATTTCTCCTCTATTCGAAGAGAAGCTTTTCTGCTTCCGACCCGGTGCCAAAGAGGGAAGGTTAAAGAAAAAGAGGGAAAGAAGACCGAATTCTCGAGGTGCCTCTAAAAATAAAGAGAACGCCCCGTTGTTCTCAGGATCCGCGTACATAGGTTATACAAGAGAAAAAGAGGTAGAAAGGGGGACAAAGAAGGAGATAGAAGGAAAGAGACGCGAAGTAGGAAGAAGGAGCGAGGAAGAGAGATAGAAGGAAGATGAGGAGTAAAAGAGCGGCAGAGAACAGCTGGAGTGGATCGTGTTTACACGCCGTATGACTGGCTAGATGAGTCAATCGTAGACCCGTTGTCTAGGAGTCGTGTGGTGGGGGAGCTACTACTTCACTGACCTATACCACGGACGTCGTATAGCGAAGGGAGAGACCGCTAGAGAGACGATGCATCGCGTATACACATGAATGTTTCGTGACGCATAGAACATACCCGCCGCCACCGTCGTCGCGCTGCTGTCTTACTCCGGCACCGAGAGCGCCAGATTTCTGGCGTGAGCCGTTGCACGAGACGATCGTCTATCGAAACTCGAACGTTTGCGTAATAAGAAAGCGCGTCGCTCGGAGCAAATATTACGAGATGGAATCACGATTCCACGATTTTTATCGCGTACCGACTTTTCGTACGCTTCTACGGAAAAGTCGCAGCGAAACAGACCTAGCGTAGACTCTCGAATCGAACACCGTCGATCGTATCGTTTAACGACATTGTTTGGCTCCTCTTAATAGGAGTGGGGAGGGGGTGCCGGAGAGGGGGAACCGCGAAAGAAAAGAAGACAGACGAACAAGTGGCTTCCGCCCCGACGGTGATGTTTTCGTCGACCACGTAGTTAGTCGTTTCTTCCTGACAGCAGTGGCAGGAAGTTTAGACGAGGCGGCCAGTAAAGAGTCGATAGTTAAAAATACGTATAAAAGAGAGGTAGGGGAAAAGAGAGAGGGTGGCGAGCGGGAGGATCGAAGTTATCCACGAAGTCGTGGCTGCCGTGTATTTTGCGAGAATTTCGCGCTAGCCTCGCACGGCCGGAAGTACAAGTATAGCAAGAAGGGAGGGATATAGGGAGAGCGCGAGAGAAAAAACGGGGAAGCGGGAGGAGATGATCTCGAGCGCCTCTGGTGGGGGTATTCAGGAACGTACGAATCGGTGGAAGTGGTGGTGGAAGGATGGGGTAAAGAGACGCGTAGACTGAAAGTGAAGACGACGGAAGAGGAATCTTTGCGTCTCTATACGGAGAACGGATTCTCACGTACACACTTTCGTAACTCGAATTATTCGCAAAATAAATTCCGCGCGAGCGCACGGATGTAGATAAACGTATCATCGAACGGAGACGTTAGAACGATAGTCTATATCTTTTCTCTCGTTTATCGATCGTAGGAGTGGAAGCAGAGGTTCGCGCGAATTTTATTTTTTTCCACAACGAAAATATCCGCGACAACTCGCGAGCAGCTGATACGTGTACGCGTATAGGCGGGTAAGCGAGCGAGCAAAGTGACAGATATGCCCGGGACGTATCCGACGTTAATAGCCGTGAACCCGTCATTTAGCGAGACGCCTCTGTATATACCGACACTGGCATTATCGGCGATTCGTATGGCTAACCAATTGAAGACACAGATACGCGAGGGAGTTATCGTACGATTTTCTTCGGACGAGTTACTGTACCAATAAACGCACCGTTATTTCTTTCCCAGATACGGGTTATCGTCGCGCTGATATTGTTTGCAACGGCGATCAAAGGATGTAACGGAAAAAAAAAAAAAAAAGAACGGAGACTAAGACAATGATGGACAATGGCAATAACGTCGATCGGCGCACACGATATTAATCCATGGTAAACATTGACCTGGAGACGCTTTTTGTCCGATTTTTCCTCGTTGTTTTTCATCGGATCGCGACACGAACGGGGAGACACGTCTAGCTCACGGCTACAATGCGAAAACGCAAATGCGATCGTCCGTGCGTGCGTGTGTGTAGGAAAGAAGCTGCTCACACGGACGGCGAAAGAAACACGTCGCGGAGGATGTGACTGTGTAAGGCGAGTTCTCACGTACCAGGACTTCGAGGCGGAATTCCGCGTGCACCTAAGTGCACGAATGACCCTCAACCCGTCGTGGAGGGCAGCGACGGCGGAAGAAGGATGGAGTGACACGGTGTGAAGAGAAAAGGCACCGAAACTGTTCGTACGGAATAAACAAAGCGGTCGTAGATACTATGTTCGGACGCGCGTGTGTATGTGCATCCATATATACATATGCACGCATACACACATGCATATATATACACATATATATAAATGCATACGAAATATAGGGGATATAGGTTTAGAAACGGCGCGTGTATAGCGGTATACGAGATGCATACGTGCGCGTATCGAAGAATACGTGGAGAAAGAGAGAGGGAGAGAGAGATAGGGAGGAAGGAAGGAGGAGAGAAAGAGAATAGGATAAAGATGGGGCTGGACACGCGAAGAGTGTTGGTGGAGCGTGTAGCGGCCGCGACAGAAAGAGACAGGAAACAGCGGAGGGGGAGGGACACGCGCGCGCGCGCGCGCGAGAACGAGAGAGAGAGAGAGAGAGAGAGAGAGAGAGAGAAAGAGCGAAGAAAGGATGAGGTCGAGAGAAGGGGAGAGTTGACCTTCAGCTGCGCCGGGAAAGTCAGGCAGTCACTGACCGACAGACTAACTTAACTACTCTATCCTTCTCCTCCTTCTCTCTTCTCCACCTCCATTCGCGACTGGCTAGTCCGATGCACCGTGTGCTGTACACATCCACCGTGTCTCCTTTCTCGTCCTATCTCTTTTCCGCTCTTCGCGCCACCACCCCTCTCGCTCCCTCCCTCGAGCCCTCTCTGTCTCCCCCGCGAACGGATTCGAGCCTCCTCCCCTCGCTCCTCACTTCGCTCGGTCTGTCTCTGTTTCTCACGTTTCTCCTGCATCACCCTACTACCGCGTGTCTCGCCGACGAGTCGTTCCTCCTCTCTTCTTTGCTCCCATTCCCTGTTTCTCTGTCTCTCGTTAGACCCAGACCCCCATCCCGGCCTATTATGTTACCCTACTGCCTCGGGATACTATCTTTAACCCCGAAACCCGTTCAAATTGCGAGCCGCTTTG